TAACTAAATTATGATTGACGAAATATCAAATTAAGATAGCGCATGATATGAAAATCATATATTGTGTTATTCTGTTTAGCTAGAATGAATTATTTTAATCTTATTGACATTGAAATCTCTTTCAATCTCTGTCTTCCAAGATAAATTTTAACTCACATTTAACATTTTCAATTTAATTCAAGCTTTTGTTTTTATTTCCTCGGTTTATGTTTTTCTGTAGCTTCAGTTTGCAGAGTCAAATATGAAATTCATTTTATTCCTTTTTAAATCAAATGTTCAATATATGTAACTATATTTGTATGTATATAAATTTTACAGTTATTGACGTACGTATGGTATATTTCGAAAAAATTTTATTTGTTGAAACGGAGATTGACAAAATGGTTACGACACTCAATTACATAGAGAGAAATTGCATTTTTATATATTTTTATTCATTGCCTTAATTACTTGGTATCCGTAAAGTAATGTACCTACCAATGAAATATACACGCATGTCATGTAATTTGAAAATATTGGTTGGCACTAAAAGTTCCTTATACGATTTATGGAATCACGTCGTTGGTTAACAGTGTACTATGTTCTCATTGACGTTAAATTTCATTTCCGACGTAAGCTGGCGCAACTACGACGTTCATGTGGCGTCAGGAGTAAACGTTGTCAGAACGAGATGTTAGGGGTTGGATTTGCTGTTCAATCGACTCAACGTCAAACTTTATTGTTATTAATTACTGCGTGGGCGATTATCCATTAACCGCAAATGTATGTATGTGATGTATGTATGTCGTAATTTACCGCACCGGTAAGTACATTACGTTGACAATATGGCGCGAACTAATAAGGGTAGTAAAGATTACGAAACTTTGAAATCTCAGTTTTAAAGTTACTTTCTATCGCGGAAAAACAGTATATTTATTCCAATATGAGATTCTCAATTTGTCGATAATAGGTTACTCTGATTCTATTTTCGTTCCATCGAACTTTATGACGGATTCTTTAACTTTGACGCGAAACCTTTTATTGCAAACTATTGATGAAAGATCAACATTCGTTTTGAATTCGAAACGTGTGAAATGTAAAACCGTTAACGATTTTTTGTCCGGCACGATACAAAATGAAAGATCAATATTTAATTACGTTCTCGTTCCCGTTTTCAAGTCCGATTTAATAGGAACTTTGCTCTCGCGGGGCTTCTAATTACTTTGCACCTTCGGTGAGAAGAACGCTTTTTATCTCCATTTCTTTGTTTTTCTCCTTTTTTTTTACTAGTCGTTATTTAATTTTTCTAACTAGAATAATACAAAGAGTATGAAATACTTTTATCTATTCGAAACATGGGACATAGAATGAACGAATCTGTATTTATGTTTACATTAAATGCTATATACAAACCAAATCATCATTATACAGACAGATTTTATTATATACAAAATGTATAAAAGTTCAAGACTCTACAAAATATATTCTTTTCTAAAGAGAAATTAAAATTATAAATCTCATTGTAAAAATAATCCAAAAATAATGTAAATAACGTTTAAAAATTTTGTGATATTGCAGTTTATAAACTTATTTTATGAAATCAGTATTTTCTTCTCTATAAAATCGAGATAATTGTCGCAAGTGTTGTTGAGATTCTTGAAGAAATTTATAGGATGACAGTTAAAATATATGTATAATCTTACTGGCGATAAATTTGTCTGGAATTTAGTTGAAACGCGATCTCGGCGACTGATTTTCAAGAGGTTTCACTTGGCAGGAAGAAGCCAAATATAATTAGTCGATTAATTATCCTTGGGATTTAAGGAGATCGTAGGAGAAAGATTAAGGGAAGAAAAGTACCGCGAAAGAAGAAGATAATTTTAAATCACGAACGCTCTATACATGTGTGTTTGCGACAGATACCCGTCCTTCTTATAAATTCCACGAAATTCTGTTCTCTAGGACTGCGCGAGATCGATGGATAAAAAAAGATTTCTTATCTTCGTGTTGACAATTTTATTTGTTTGTTGTATTAAATTAAGTATTTCTGTTCTAACGCCAAATTAGTAATGTTAGTAATAATAATTTAGATGTATAATTCTATCGACAGATACATATAATTGACAACCGATTATATAAAATATGATTGATTTAAGAGTGACTATAAATTACAGTTAAATTATAATAATTTCAATCATCATTTTTATATGGTAAAAATAACTGTAATTATAATCATTTTTGGGTCACTAACTATATAAAAATATTTGTTGATAGCGGGTATGTTAAGTTAGAACCCCAACTTAGGGAACTCTTCGTCTCGTCAAAAGGAAGTGGGAACTCTAATCAGAATTCTGAGTACTACAGTTGGGGTGCTAACTTAACCCGTTGATAGCATATATAGTTATTATTACTTATATTACAGTAATGATAATCAATCATGATAATTATAATTACAAACACTAAAAAATTTTTTATTGTTAGCATACTAGTATAATAGATGTAGGCACTATCTTGCTGTCACTCAAATTAACTGTTAATTGATATCAAATTGTATTGTAATATTGCAATCATAGTAATAACAGCAATAATTGAATGTTTGGATAACCACTGAATATTGACAAAATCACTTTTGACCACATAACAATTATCATTCTGAATGAAGAAATTTGATCGCCACATGATTGGAATATGACAGTGGAAATAGACGGGCCATAATTGCCGAAATTATGATCTATAGCTTACCGCTGTCTATTCCAGAATTTGACAGTAGCGAATTGGTGATCGTTATTCGAATGGATCTAGTCGAGAGAATTTGCGCGTTCCAATTTTACAAGCGACGGGATGTAAGCGGATTAAACAAAGCATTACTGAATTTGTGGAACGCAACAAAAGTGTCGTGTCGTGAATTTTTGTTTTTTGCTATCGCTAAAATAACAAATACGTCACTCTTGATGTTTGCACTTTTCGTTCTCCAATCGCAGTAAGATCTCATGATTTTTTCATTTTTGATTTTATATTTATCTGCCGATAAAAGAAGAATGAGATGAAGCCGATCTTGCGCTTTCCGTGGAGTATTGTGGTAGCGAGGCTATTGCGCGATATCTGCACGTTCCTTATTAGATATTGTTGTTGCTGAGGACAAGAGGAAAACTTATCGATGATAAGCGATCGTCGTAGAAGAATCTTTATGAAAATGTAATGACGGTAAACAGAAACGAGGAACGCCTTTTTGTCGCTCTCTCCGATCGATCAATCACTCTCTACCTATCTATCTATACCGACCCTTTGTACGCGATGGCACTTGAGAGGTAGATAGAGGGTTCAAAAGACTATTTCCTGGCTTTTCGTGCGGTCTGACATTTGAATGACATCTGGGTAGCATGGCATTTAAATTATTTATTTTCCAAGAATATTTCGTCTTGAATTTTACATTATCTAAACATAACGGAACAAAAATCAGGAATTTTTATGGACTTTATCAGAATTCAGAGAATTTTTTTAAATTTTACTTTTAAATTTATGTTCTGCTTTTTTTTTTAAAACATTATTTTTTAAATCTTTTTTCTTAATGCAAAATGTTGATAACCATCTAAATATGTATGATAGATCGATATGATAACATTAATAAGCGAGATGTTTAGAATATATTATTATGTTAATTATAATAATATTGGTTACAAATTAATGCGTAATGTGCTATTAGTGCATGTAAGTTTATTATTATAAATAACATTCCGTCAATTTAAATATTAGTACGAATATACAAGTGAGTAGGGACGACTCTTCACTTGGCTGTCAGTACTTCGACTTTAAATTTAATTAAAATTGATGCATCGAGGGATGTCGATATTTACTCGTATTTATCGTTTATAATACCCGCGATAGGTAACGATAAACATCTCGTGGGGGAAAAAATATTTTCTATATCCGTACTATATTCCACGTAATATTTTCTCGAACGTTTATAGTACGTTATATTGTTTAATAGCATTACCTTGCATGAGTTGATAAAATTGCCGTAGTGTTAGAGGCGATTATTGTATTTTAAAAACAGATCACAATGATTTTGAACGAAATAAAGCTCTCCAACAACGAAACACAGTCATACACTGTGTGACACAGTAATACGTGTCGACTTGTAGCTGAAACGTTACTTAGTTTTTTATTTCACCCCTAAAGTGAAATAAAAAAAATGTCTCATACATCTATGTCTGAATATATCTGAATGTATAATCTTAAAACCTCTTGTCGGGTTCTAGAAAAATAAATGGTAATAAAAATTTGTATTTGCACGATATAAAATGATGACACAGTCGAATATGGTATTTTATCTGTGTACGCGGGCGGCGCGCGCGCGATTGTATCTAGTCGTGTCATTGTTGGAACAATATAGAATCGTACATTGGGTTATGCAGTGTCACCTGTGTACGTCGCTGGAAAGCAGCACTCCATGTTTTTACCAATATTAAAATTTAATGTAGTGCGATGATTTTCCAATCCTTTATTATACATAGTGGGTCATCCGTATTGTGGGTTAATTTTTATTACTTTACGAAATGTACCAAAATTCTGTGATTCTTATATATACATATTTAGAAAGTATTTGTAAGATTATGTATTTTGAAGAAAATTGTATATAAAAGTTATAACCAATTAGTTGATGCTTCTAATTTTTCAAAGGAAAAAAATGTACAGCACGCGAATGATTTGATCGTTTGTACGTACCATAAGGGTTAATAAAGTGTAATATTTAGTTTCCGAGAAATAAGAGGATGTCTTTTTAATAAGAGGAGACTTATGTCGATATCGGCGATTTTTTTTTCTTTTATTTGAAAATGTAATTATTGAGATAAAATTTGTTTGGGATATTCTGAACATTCCATTTGCTTAAAGGTTAAAGTTCTAGACGGTAGGCAACTTTCAAGACTATTTTTAGAATTCGTATGAAAGATCATCCTGTTATAATTATATCTTCAGAAAATATTCGTTGAATATATAAAAATATATATTAATAACGTTACCTTATCGCCTTGTTGTAATCCGGCTTTCTCGGCGGGGCCACCCGACACAGTCCATAGAATGTAAGCGAAGGTGCGCCCGTCCGATCCAATCTTGCCGCCTACCACCTTCATGCCAAATCCACGCGCTGCAACAAAGGGATGTGGGCTAAGAACGAAGTACGGGAAAAGCAATATTACGCCGCAATTTCCGCGGATATCTCTTGTCTTCGTGGGTAGGATTTGCGTCATCGAGATAGAAACACACCGGGCTGTACACGTGTCGCACGTCGGTGCCGCCGCCTGCTTTGAAGAGAAATGCAGTTTATACGTTTCACAGCGATGTAACTCGCACAGTTTCCCCCCAATGTTCTCCACACAGCAGAATTCACACGTATTCGCGAGTGTAGCTGAAGCTACAACGTCAGGTCTAGGAAAATAATTAACGCTCACGCTCGCTGTAAACGCGAGCGGCAATTGCATCAATTGTTGGGGTAACAATGTCACGTTGTTAGCAAATCTAATGCATAGCAAGTGCTTGTAATTTAGCTTTGTAAATTGCTATCCGATCATTGATATTTCCACCGTCGTGAAGTTAGCCCCTAACATTAAAAAAAATAAAATTTATATAGCTCACACATTCGATTGCTCATCGTTTGCACATTTATGCACATTTTCTAATTTCGTTTGCACACCTTTAGTTTAAAAGTTATTTAAAAAACAATTTTGTTTTGGTGATATTTCCACTTTACATAGAAGGTAGTAATTTAGAAAATAATAAGCTTTAAGATAGTCTGATAGAATATTGATTGATTATAAAATCTTTTCAGTATCATCTGTGATAATTTTAATAGGTAATTTTTATTTTGGTCTCTGCAATATCATCGCATACTGAGAAAAATATATAATGTGATCTACAAAAATTTTCTTTTTAATTAAAAAAATGTTATTTTAATCGAAATTTTTGGATATTCTAATCAAATTTTAATTACAACAAAATTTTTTAATTAAAAAGTTAAAAGTTTTTGTAGATTTTGTAGGTAAATTAAAAAAATTTTGTTCTAATCAGAAATTGATTAGACAAAAAAACAAAATATTTTTTAGTTAAAAATTAAGAAAATTTTTGTAAATTACGAAATGTTTTCTCACCCGAATATAGAAATGTCTTCTTGATGTTTCTATATCGATTATAAACTATAAAATATAAGTCTATAAAATATTACGATGATGAATAAATTATCCTCGTTTCTCAGAAATAAGAAAAATTTTAGTGAACAAATGTAGAATTTATAATGTTATGTATAGAATACATGTTTTCTTTTCTAAATTCATTTAGACTGATAAAGCTATTTCAATACCGTGTTTCGCTAAATTCAGCGATTAAGCGCACTGAAATACAATCCGACATGACCAAACCAATTTCAAACTATCGGCTCTAAGGATTTCGTAACATCTGGATAAACCTTCGCACACTACGATTAACTGTACAGATTCGATGGACAATCCCCCTTATTACCGGCAACCGCAAATTCTACGAACTCTAAGTGGATAAAAACTTGTGTGACGTGTCTGCAAAGTTTTTGAAATTACTTGGAAGACGTAAAAATACAAAAATTCTTTCTATTTTTATTTGATTTTATATCATGCAGGTTTGAATATCTACTTATATCAATCGTATAGCTTAATAGAAAAATTATAGAATTGACTATATTCATCTTTTCTGAAGAGTGCTAATTTTTAGAAAAGTAGAAAGATTAGATATTCTAAAAATAAAAAAATAAGGAATATTTGATTCTGATTTCTAATTGTGATATTCATACAAATATGACAAATATAAATTTGAAATTAATTTCGAGTATATTTACGAATTAGTTTTCCATTCCCGGTAGAAATCGAGTTTGTTGGAATTGATACACAAATTAATATAGTCACAGAATCCTAGAAAATATCACGTCGTAAACGTTCTCAATCGAATGACGGATCGATCGCGTTTATATCGAGAAAATATAAAACAGATTGAAAGTTTTGCGCTATTTGTGCAAATAATGAAATAACCCTGTATCAATATTTTAACAAGAAAAAGCTATATACGGCGAGGATAGGCAAGAGAAATGTGTAGGAAGGAAACAATAAAAATGGAGAGATTTGCCGATAATAGCATATAACATTCTCAATTTTGGTCCTCTCTGCATGATGGTGATAAAAAATTGATCTCTAAGTTGACTTTTCGCACTTTTACACGTGGCAGGTCATCATCTGCAGCAGAATTTCACTTGTTTCTCACGTCTACATCGTAAAAGCGAATTTACAGCATTTTGTTATTTACCATGCTTTCTTGTAAATTTTGTAAACTGAAATTGGAATGTATAAAAAAATTTATTTTGTCAATAGATTTAATTGGATAAAATGTTGAAAGTATTGCAGTCCAATTTGAAAATATTATTTACCTGATTACTACTTTTTTCACTCAATTTAGTTTCTCTATTCCCAAAATTAAAAAAATTTGTTTCAAATTCTTCAAACTTTAAACAATTTAAAAGTTGGAGGAGATTTAGATACTATAGAATAGGTTAATTAATATTAGAATGATTTTAAAAGACATATTTAATGCAAATAAATTTTTTGAAAGTATGATCAGGAATATCTACTGCAAATGGAATCATATATGTGGAGATTTAATTGAAACTAATCTTTAAAATTATTTAATATTTATTATCTGTTGAATGAGACCGAGAGCTATTAAATATTAAAAATAACTAAAATCCGTTCCAAGTGCTACTTTAAACATTTATTTTTCATGTGCCGGAGAGAAACGGGGGAAAGAATCAATATATGAATGGTCCACATTTGATTTCGACGTACATTTTTCTTTTTGATATTCTATTTGTGGAAAATGTCTTCTTTCTCTTGATGATTTTCACATTTGTCTTCGGCAGAGTTAGCAAGATCGTATCACTAAACGACGTGGACGTAATATAAGGATCTTCGCCGGAGTGACGATGATAGTTTGGGTAGGAGAAAAGGATTGGAGGCATAGTTTGATTTACGGCCAGCAAACACACGAGCGTATAGAACGAGCCTTTACGCCGTTTCTCGATATGCATATTGCGCAGCCAATATCTTCGCTTTCCACACGCCTAAATCTCCCTGGTCGGCCATGTGCCATTCTTGCGCGTTACCGGTAATGGTATTGTCCCTGTATGTATTAGCGTGAGAAATCCGAAACACGCGCGCGAGGAGAACCACTTCATTAAGTGTTATCGTGCTAGCCGCGCGCGTAATTTCGTTCTGATGTGTACGAATTAATCCTGTTGCTGCCGCGCGTATAATCCCGCCGCCCTTTCGTATGCTCGAATCGTGAGGGAACGTTCAGTAAGCGCAGTCGATAAATTTCGATGGTTATGAATAGAGACGCCAGTTATTCTACTGTAACTTTATAGCGATTCTCTGACATGCTGTGTAAAGAATGAATAAAAGATACGAATTGTGGAAAGTTTAAAAATATTAAACAATATTCTCGTTAAACTGAATAGAGCGAGGTTTTTTCGTTCATTTGCGAAGAAGCAATCGTGATTGTATAATGTAGTTGTAATGTTATTGCAAAGAGATATTGTTTGCAGTTGTACATTTTCATGTTGAAATTGAAACTCGGAATATAGACCTGCTCTACCTTATAAAAAATCTATAATATAATTTATTATATAATGTATAATATTTATATTCGTTACATTATGATGAATATAATTTGCTTTAAGTAAATATTATTTGAATTTTGACGAAGCTAGTGCTGGTTCACAATGACTTGTAGAAACAATATTACCAATTCCACGCGCGAACGTACCATTGAATGAAATCATCGCAGTTGACAAAGAGTCAAAAATGTCACATATTTTGAGGTAAATCGAGTTAAAGTCTCACGTCATGTCGCGTATTTGAGACAGTCAGGGTTTTAAATTTGGCAGTCATGAAATATCAATCCTACCGACGGAATCGATTGTCATTCCGAACTATCGTATTGACCGACGTGCAAATCTGCGTTTATATAAACGTGACTTTAACGAGATACGACATAGATGCGACGTCGTACCATTTAATTGATCAACGTCATTGAATTCTCGAACGCAGCGAGATTATCTGTTAATGCTCTGACGAACTAGTTAAGGAGAATCTCGTTTGCGTCAGAATAGAGCTCCAGCAGTAATCCGGTTAAAGGTTTCGCTCGCACGGCATTGTAATTATCAATAACTATCAGTTATGTTGAGTCATGATCCGTTATGATCGATTATAATCAGTTTTGATCAATTCACAGGTGCATAAATTTTATCTACGTTCTTTCTTTTATGGAAATTCGAAGAGAATTTTATTATTAAATTAATTTTAATTTTTTAATTCTTGAATCTATCACTGATATTTTTTCCTAAATTTATGAATACGCCTGTATAATGTTTTAAATGTAGTACTGATGAATATAATTAAATATACTAAAAACATTTAAATCACATTTTAAGCAAAAGTTTTTTGTAAGTGTATTTAGGCAAAATTTTGCAAATTACGAACAAAAAATAAATGTTATCAAATAGTATGCAACTTAAATATGTGTGAGATCTTTTACGAAACAAAAAGAATACAACAAAATGCTTAAAAATGACCGAGCTAATTAAAATTCGTGTTGGTGCTCAGCAATTTGCAAGAAGTGCGGTTTAATTACGAATAACGCACAAGTTGCATAGTTATAGTCTACATGCTGGCTCATTTACACGTGTTGCTCTATGCTTGCGATAACGAAGTTAATTCTGAATTATTATCATCGAATTACTTTATGAACTCTATGTATTGAAATTAAAATTTAATCATAATGAAATATTAATGCTTTTTTTGTTCAGTTTAATATTGTGATATTTGTCACAAGAAATACCGTGTTTATTGTTAAAATTGAATCAAAATTACAAGGCAAACCATATTGCTAGATAGTAGAGTTGGAAAGGACAGGGGAATGGCCGTGATAATGGGAAATACGTCTGTTCATAGCCACAATAGCGTACCTGTTGCGGACAGTTCAGAAACTCGAGGCACAACCCCTTTATAGATTCCATTTCTGTAGACGATTTTTTCTCATTTCCTCGACCTTATTGTTACTCCTACTTAATCA